AACTTTTTTGGCAATTTAAAAATTGGCTTGAAATCAACTTATCTGAAGAGTTTTATCTAAAATTATGTAAATTGCTTTCAGGCTCTTTATTGCTTAAATTTTAAACAGCTGAAGTTGGTTTTGAAAATGTTCACAGTTTTTTAATAGCTGTGGATATTTCTGTGAGTAGGGAATAATGTTGGTTCCATGCAATAACTATACTGGCATGAAAGTCTACTGTAACTAGAAGTAAACTCTCCAGGATTTTTCTTAAATTCATGAACTACCTAAAACCTCTGAAAACTTAAAGTTATAACAGGCTACATTGTTTCTTGATGGCTGAGTATTTATTTCATTCTTAGGGCCCAGACGGTCTCTAATAAAGGACTCCTTAAATACCTTAAGTATGTCACAGTTAGTGCTGTTTCTGTGCACCTGATTGAATTCTAATGCATATTTGTCATGTCCCTTTGGTCAGTTGGGGTCTCACATCCCTGACTTTTCCCTCCTGGCCTCTTGCCCACTCCCTGCCTGCTGGGTAGGGATGGAAAAGCAATCTTTGACTCTGCAAGCTCTGTCCAGCTGTAGCCAAAGCATTACAGTTACCAGGACTGTTTTGGTCACAAATCCAAAGCATATCTCCATAGGAGCTGCAGCGTAGCAAGTGAACTCCATCCCAGCCAAGCCCAGTAGTGGGAAATGTTCTTGGTGTTTTTATTTAACATGTAATAGCTAAGACTCCAAATTAATTTTTGTGAAGCTATATGATGGCTCAAATCCACCTTTCTGTTTAGCTCTTACAAGAAACTTGCACTTGTGCTGTGTTTAAATTTCCAGTCAAAATTCATCACTTCTTTTTATGAAGGCAACTGAATTGCAATTGTCAGTAGGACTAAATATACACAATAAACCTTGTGCACCTAAAAAGATAACCTCGTTATTTTAAGGATTCTTTGAATTGTATGTGACCTAATGCATTCAGAATTTTGTCATGATTTCTCTGGAAGACAGCACACATCTTCACAGCCACTGGCTAAGAACTGAAATAGGAATTTAGGTCTAACCAGTAAATGATGTATAGAAATATGGCAAAGAAAGTTTAACATGAAGAAAAAAGAAAATTTATTCATCTCTTGGAAGCAGCAATCTGTCTTTGGGTTGCTGAAGTTTATTCCTTTATTCAGCTGGGCAGTGTTCCAGGGACTTCACAGTATTCTAGTATATAGTCTAGTATAAATATTGGTCATTTTCAGTTCTATGGCTTTTTTCCTAAAATTAACTTTAGTAAAGGATGAAAGAGACTGAAAATATTTTTAAGCAGTTGTCTGTATCTTAGATGACTGAAGAAGTAACTTTATTTTTATATTGGAGTGGTGCAGCAAGCTGCTGAAGTGCACATTGGCACTTCTAGTAAAAATTCAAATGGCTTTCAGAAGAACAAAATTACAATTCTATTAAAACTTAGATCTAATGTGACAAGTATTTCACGTTACTATTGGCTGACTGAAGTTGCAGTGTACAGTGCAGCTCTAGGTAGGTAAAGTATTATTACTAATGACATGTAAAGGTGTTTTAAATAATATAAAACAACAGTCACCAAGATTCTTGATGTCCAGTCTTCATTTCTGAAGCCAAATAGCCATCTTTTTAATTGGCTAGCCATGGTAATCAAAAATATATTCAGCAGTTAAACCAGGTTACTCCTAAAAATTTTTCTAAAGGAAACCAAGTGTATCTTTAAGGACCCAACAAAAAGAAACCTGTAAATATTTCTATTAGTGCAAAATATTTACTGTGTACAGAAATAAGGATCCTGACTTCATATAGAATTGACAGCACTGTAAATTGTTTATTGAATCACTCAATTACTGTGGAACATTTTTCACACAGAAAGGTTTGCAGCCCAGGCTTTAGTTGACCGTTTGGTTAAGTCAGGCATAGTTGGTATGATGAACACACAGAAAATATTTTCTGATTTCTCTTGCCTAGTGCTTAACTGTGGTTATGATTGATTTGGATTAATGAAAACATTTTCCATTTGAAGTGTTTAATATTGCATATTGTCATTACTCGGAATTAAATTCAGAGGTTTCACATGAATATTTTTGTCTGGCCTCAGGTTTGCCTGTTATTCCACTGTTTAATTTGTTCCTTCATTGCTTAAATATATTTGATTTCCAAAATTTATTTCATAAATAAGTACTAATTAATCAAATTGGAGCCTTTGGGAAAATACAAAACTGCTCTTTTCCAGGAGAAAGCCATCTACTTCAAAAGTTGTATTACTTTTTGTTAACAAAGCTTTCAGTGTTTGTTAACAAAATTTTCTTAATGAAGTTTCAATATTTTAACTACAATTAATAACCTCTCTCTTAATCTATTTAGATTTCAGTTATGTCAAGTCCTCCTGTTCTTGTCTCATTAATGTAGAATTTGCCTGTCTGGGATCTCACAGCTGAGGCAGTACCTGGATAGTAGCTGGGATCTGTAGCTGTACAAACTCATCTGTGGTAAAAAGTTTATAGTGGTTGTGTAAACACCCTATAGGGATAGAATCTTGGACAGCACACAGGTGCTACAGTTAAACCCCTTGTGTCCCTGTAGTAACCTGATCAAAACTGGCTCCAGCTTTCAGGAGACACGTGGGTTATACTTCAAAGGGAAAACTGAAGAAGCTGTTGGGTACACAAGACTTTCTTATCTATTTCTAAACTGTCATGGCTAGATGAATCTTTTGTATAAACTGAGATACTCGATCTATCTTGGTGGAATGGCTATGAAGGTTTTTTAATTAAGTTTCTTCTGGTGCACTATTTTAGCTGAAACTTGATTAATAGGTTGAGGCAAATGACCTGCAAAACTCTGTCCTGGAGTACTAAAACTAAAAGTGGTATAAATTTTAAGTGAGGCCTTCCCATAATATAAATCTGCCAAGTGTAAGAGTGAGTATTTTGTCTTTAGTGTTTTATAGGGGGAAACAAAAAGGCAGATCAATAGGTTGCTAGTTGTTGTAGTATTTAGGACACATTGCAAACAGTCTCACCAGTCTTACCTGACTAGTAGTAGTTGTAATGTAAAATTGTCATATGGGAAAAAATGTGTTAGGTGGGTGAGTAATTCCTAGATCTTTTGACCCTTAAAGTCTAATTTTATGATAGTAGCACTTACCTTGAAGGCTGCCAGTTATTTTAATGATTATGTTCTTAAAAGTCAAGCAGTGGAGATCAAGTGCTCTGACTTTTTGAGATATTGAGCAAGATAGATTCAAAGCTAGGTGATTACCCAAAACATTGCTAGTATTTCTGCTAGTAAGAGTAATGCTTCTTGCAGCAAATGTGGGGATCTGTGAATGTGTCTTGGGATTTTCAAATACCCATTCTAAAGAATGGAGTCTAACTGAAAGGATTTCTTGCGTTTCCTTGGCTATTGCTTGAGCAGTGCTTAAACACTATCAGAGCTTTTCTTTTCCTGTTCTGTTCCCCAGAGTTTAAAGGCTGAGTGGGTGTGCAGGACATGCAGCTGAGAGGTCTGCTGACTGGAATTGATCATTCTATGCCATTGTGGTAAAGTGCTCAAGCAACAAATGCTCAAGGAAAGGAAGAAAGGACAATTTGGTTATAGTGGTGTCCAGAACAAGTGTTGTGGGTGCTGAAGCACAGCTTTCTAGGAAGTGGCTGGACAGCTGCCTGGCCATGGGAAGTAATGAAGAAATCCTTCCCTCTCTTTTTCCCCACTTTTGTCTGCAGTTTTTGCTTCACTTATAAGTGAAGCAGTCTTCACTTGCAGACTGTTATCTCAGTCTGCAGGCCTTCTCACCTTCCTGCTCTCTTCTCCCTGCCCTGTAGGAGAGGAGAGTGAATGAGCAGCTCTGTGGGTGTTTGCCAGCTCAAACCAACACAGTCCTAAGCAAAAGATCAGGAGAGGGAAGCAGAAAGCTCTTCTGTAGGTCCCAGGAAAGTGTTCATACAATATATTGATATTGAAATGCAAACAGCTGCAGTTGCAGGAGTGGCCTAAGGGCACATTTGTCTTACAAAAGCAGAAAATAACTGCTTGAAATGTTTTGCAACTCTTCAATATACCTTCTTGCTTCTGATGGTAATTATTTAATCTTGGAACTCCTTAGAGCTCAGAACTAGATGGACTTCAGAGTAGTACTTTTAACAGTGGTGATGTACAGAGCTGGAATAAAATTATATAAATGTGTTTAATTAGAGAATGAGTAGTAGTTTCAAGGGAAAAATCCTAAGTGACAATGTGATAATTCAGGCCAGCATACTTTAACTGTCTCAAAATGCAAGCACAGTTGAGAAACAATGGTGGTTAGTAAATCATCCTGATTCTGTTAGAAAATCCATTTGGCTGTGAATGGTAGTTTAGAAGTCAAGGATACTGGACATAATCAGGTTTCCACCATTCTTAGATGGATATTTTTATCAGCTGGTTTTGCAAATCTCTGTATAAGCATTTCCTAAGAGCTCGTGTGCTGCTGTTGTAGAGCCTATGCTATAGGAGGTATTTGTTGCATTAATATAAGATTGCCCTGCAGTTAATTTCAGTTATCTTATATTAATGTAGTAAAGTAGTGATGCATGTCTTAAGAACCTTCTAAATGGAAAAAAGGGAAAAAAGTAACAACTTCTGCTTCTTTTGTTGATGCTTCATCTAAGGCATAGCTGTAAAGATTATTCAAGATGCAAGCAAAAATCTTATTGCTAGTAAGCAAACTTTATAAACTCTGTTTGTTGTATTGTTTTGGAGATGGGGAGGTGGACACAACATACAATTTCTAGATAAATCGGACTGCTTAATGTTTTGTGACATTATTTAGAAGTAGAAATCTGTGAATAAAATTGTTAACACTGGAAATTGTTAAAAGTGATAGATATTCTAGAGAGGCAGAGGTGAGCCTTTATTTAAGCCTGTTGATTAGTGTTGTCAATATAGAGTTATGCCAGAGAAAATCCTCACAGTATATGGAATTTTGAAAATAATTTATTTATTTCTTCGTTCCTTTTTAGGACCAAGATGGGCTTCCTGGAACACTGGTGTTTTTATCTGCATCAGATGTGCTGGAATACATCGAAATCTTGGGGTTCATATATCAAGGGTCAAGTCTGTCAACTTGGATCAATGGACACCAGAGCAAATACAGGTAGAATATCTTCAAATATGTTTCCAGTTTGGAAGGTATGTCAGGAGTACTTCTGAAAGGATTTGCATTTATCATCATGCCCTGCTTACATGTTTTACAATCCTATTAGCTTTTGCATGTGTCATACTTCTACTGTAGTGAGCCTAAGTTCATAAAACTCACTTCAGAAGTTGGTTTGCCTCTAATTTCTGTATCATTTTAGAGGTGTTCTGCCTTACTCCAGGGACTCTGAAAGCTACTTCTTGGTTGTATCTGTAGAAAAAGTGTTGTAAGCCTTTTTAGTAAGTATCAGGGCAGTAGCACTCACATATCTGTGTGATGTCTGGTTGTGTTCTTTTGGTGTATCAAGCACTGAGTCTTCCAGGTATGCTCCAGTCTGAAGCCTCTTCCTGCCATCAGGCAAATTTTGTTACTCTCTGTCTTCCTGAAGAGCCACCCTGAGAGATCAAAGCTTGTCTTTCCCTGGGTGGGCTGGTTCACACTGCAGACAGGATCCATGTTGCTGGCTTTGTCCATCAAGGCTGGGCAGGCAGCCCTCCTGTGCCGTGCTGGTATCTCTCAGGACCTATGGCAACAGGGAGCTCTCCAAGTTAAAAACTTGGGATGGCATTTAAGCACTCCACAGTAGCATCCTGACTGTTTCAGAGTTTAAGGTATTGATAGACATGAACTAACTGTTTTCTACCACTTTTCCCTAGTGCATGCAGGAAATGGGAAATACTAAAGCAAGACTACTCTATGAAGCTAATCTGCCAGAGAACTTCCGAAGACCTCAAACAGATCAGTATCCTTTTTGTTTGGGCTTTCACGTTGAAATGACTTCTAATGCAATTGAGATGTTATGACTGTTTCAAGGAACTGCTACATTTGTCAGCTTATGTTATTTATTTCATTGATATTGTTGTATAACAAATGACAGTGGAAGTTGAGAACAGTTCAGAAAAGATTTAAATTACTTCAGTCATAGCAAATCTACTTCGTAATGAGATTTGGCAAGCACCATTTATTTTTGCTTTCAGAGGAGGTGACTTCATAAATTCCCTGTGTGTAGGAAGTTAAGAGTGATACTGGAGACTCTTGAATATTTTCTTTGTCTTGAGTAACTGCCATCTGAAGTTTAGAAGCATTTGATCAGGAAATAATGAGCTGAATGGTTCACTAAAATAAGCCATTGCATCTTACTCCAGTGAAGCATGGATTTCTCTCTAGGTGACTGGCATGGAAATTCATAAATAAACCCAAGCTCTCTCAGGGCCACCAGTTGTGTTTGTGTGTGGTTGTCACTGTGTACCTGGACAGGAAGGGTTGGAAGAAAAGCAGTCTGCTGGCAATAACTTTTCTCATTAAATACCTTTACTGAATCACTAGGATAATATATAATGGCATTAATTTAGGTCTGGGATTTTTTCTTGATTTAGTGAAGTTACTCCATAGGTAGGATTTGCTTCACCTGATCTTATTGTAACTCTTTAATTATAATGAGATCCTAAACATCTACTCTTAAGTGAGCTGAGTCCCCAGCTACAGGAGCTGATAAACAGACTTAGTTGTAACTTGATTTTAATTTGCTATATACGAAGATGATTCTGGTTCTTCTGTTTATTAGATACTACACTCGATATAACAGAAGATTTTTTTTCCCTTTGAAAGAGTTAGACTTGTTAAAAAATGCACTTGAGCAAAACAGATACTTTTTTCATATTCTAGAAGCTTTTGCATTAAACATACATCCTCATAAGAAGAGAGTCAGATAGCACCATAGTATTCCAGCTGTAATATTCTGTAACTTTATTTTAGCTATATGATTGAAATATTTTGACTAAAACTTACTCAAAAATGGAACTGAAGATTTTTTTTTTTTTTGCTGCAACTAACTTAAATTCACTGGTGCTACTGCAGGAAAAGAAATAATGCTTTAAGCTTTTCTTGTCAGATCATACCAAAAGTCTAGTTTTTAGACTTTCAAAATAGTTCTTTTTTTCCACACTCTATGCCTTGAATTAATTACATACCCTTTTGAATAGTTGTGGACTAACTGGTGGACTTGGTCAACTGAGTATACTTCATTGCCTGTGTTTTCTTTATTAACACTGTATTGTCATAAGAGGTGATTGCAACAATTTGATTTATTTCTCAATTTTTGCATAACTTTGGCAGCTACTTACCTACTTGGCATTCATGACAAGCTGTTGTGTTATGGATGTTTTTTGTTTTTTTTATTTGCCCATTGTATCACTACAAAATAGTAGTGATGTTTAGTATGTCATCAGCGTTCTGCTTGTGAATATTCTTATATTCTGAACATTCTTTTGGATAAATGTTGAACCTATTTTGCATGTAATGATCAGTTTTGTATATGTTCATATATATCAGTGTTTAGCTTCTCATAGCACTATAATATACTTCTAGTTTTAAGGTAGTAAAGTGAAGACACAGGAGGAATGTGTTTGTGGGATCTACCAAAAATTTCCTGCTAAAGATCCCTCCTCATTTCTGCTTCTTAATCACAAGTGACCTTTCTAAGCTTTTTTTTTCCTTCCCTGGTACTTGACAGGGATGTTATTGTATAGGAACTAACTTTTAGGATCATTGTGATTTTTTTTTTTTTTTATGAAAGCTTTTTACTGTTGAAAGATGTTTTTTTCCAGCAACAATAAATAATTTTTTCACACTATTAGTACTAAGACAGCTGTACCTTCAAAGTGCTCAGGATGCCCTTTGCAATTTATATATATTTGGAAAGAGGTAGAAAGCAGTGTTTTGATTTTTGGAACTTTTATGAAACTGTCTTCAGGTGACATTTGCATACTGTTTGAAACTATGATTTTTGAAAATATAATTTGATGCACAGAATGAAGGGACTGAGTGCTCTGAATTCAGTGTTAATCTTAGGACACAGTATGTGGAGCTAAGAGTATCTTTCCATCAACTGAGGAAAAATGCTTTGGAAGTCTGAGGCAATGAGTCTGAGCTTCCACAGTTGCAATATCAGTTGTTGAATGGATAATCACATTGCTGGACAAAGTAGTTAAAATTTATTCTTCAGATCCTAGAGAGTCAGCTTTACTAAATGTAAAATATTCACATTGCTTTGGATGAGCTGCTTTATGAAGCTGAGAGAGTAATTGAGGAAAACAACTGGCTGTCTTTTTTGTGTTTGAGCTACTGAGTTGTCATTTCTAGTTTTCTACAGCAATATGCTTGCTGCTGTTTCCATCTTTGCTTCAATATCTTTTTATCATTAGTTGTTTTGGCTTTTTTTCCCCTTCCACAGCAATTTTTGTTTTAACAGGAGACTCTCATGGAGGACTTGGTCATCTCAGAGAAGTGTTTATGATCAGCATTTGATAAATGGTATAACATGCAAATCAGAGAATCAGGTACATACATTTCACCTCTTTTATAAAGTATTTTCCCCCAAGTTAAGATGGTAAACTATAATTATTTACCATATATGAGTACCATTGTTCAAGTATTTTCAGTCCTACAGCCATGTATAATAAAATAAATACCAGGTGAAAATGTCCTAATTGTGAAACACTGAGTTACTTTTACTCTATCTTTCTCATATTGTTTTCTTCAGAGATTAAGCTGATTAATTTTGTGTAATACAAAGAAGCTCACTTTGGGCACTGCAGCAGCAGTTGTTCTGTGTAGAGTGGTTGATGTTACTATTTATATGAATGCATATTTTCCTTAAACTAGCTACTTCCAGAGCTGTGGAATTTTTCATCAGGGATAAGTATGAAAAGAAGAAGTATTATGATAAAAATGCAATTAATGCCTTCAATGTAAGTAAACACTTTAACCAAGAATTGTCACTTAGTTTTTGAAAGCTATGTAAGAGAAATGTAGTGAACATCATGCATGTTAAAAGGTCTTTTACATTTGAAAACATTTTGGCTCAGAGCTAAGTGCTTTTTTCTCTGTCTTTTGAAGACTGTTCCTAGGTTCCATAAATTTTACCTCTGTCATCCATTACATTTATATTGGCAAAGCATTATGATCCAACGGGTTTTATGATCCTTTGTTTTATGGTTTTCCCTCATGGGTATTTCTTTAACAGTACCATTTGAGCCTTTTTTATTTATCTTTTTCCATATTATAGGGGTAAGATAGGATTACTGTTTATGGTGACATGGTCTTCCCTCATTCTCTGTAAACCTTGATGAGAAATCCTAGGGTGTTTTGAGCCCTCCTTGTGCTGAATTCCAGGCTGTTGCGTGTGGTGAGGTGCACTGTAGTGCACACACAGGCAGTACAAAGAACCTGCTGTTAAATCCTGTAGCTGTGTGTTCACTACTGTAAGTTGGGGAGTGCTGCTCTGGCTAAGGAGTTTGAAAAATTTGCACCTTTACAGAAGTTCACAGTCTTCTTAGGTTTCTTTATTTGTTTTTTGATACATCTGTTTCTGGGATACATCATCTAGTTCATACATTTTTCATCATATAATTGTATTTATGCTTAAACATACACAGCTATGTACCTGCTTTGTTTAACCATGGCCTAACACGTAGCTTTACTACTCTGCCTTAATAGGCAGTGAACTTTTACAGGGACAAGTGCAAGTGTAGGTTTAAAGCATGAGAGTTTATGCTGCATTTCCCATTTGAGAAAATGGATCTTTGAATGATGGTTTCGTTTTAGAAGGGTAAAAAAGCAAACCTGGGAAGTAGAAAAGAGTGTTTCAGTAAGTACTGTTGAAATGGGGGAAAATTGCTTCTCTTAAGATGTAAGGTGCAATTGTGGTTTGAACTACAAATCGGTTACCCTTCTTCACTTTTATTCCAAAATATAAAGTAGGAAGAAGAGTTTAAAATTATACTTCCTTAAAAAGTTTTTAATACGCTCAACATCTTTCTACACAGAGAACCTTGGTGTCTAATGTAGCAGTTCACTCCTGCCTTAATATGTTTGAAGGAGTAATTAGCTTTATCATATTGCAGAGTAAGATGAATCATTTACCTGCCATAGCAGCAAGGATAGAATCCAGACAAGCTGAAGAGATACATATGTGTTACTGCTGAGTACTTTTCTCCTAGTTGGGCTTTTCTTTCCTTGACTAGTGTAAATGCTGTAATCTTCTTGGGAACAAAATCTGATCATACAATATTTTAGCAACAGATGAGTCATACACATTCAGAGTCACCTGTGTTTTTTGAAGACCACAAGGCATCAGGTTTGAGGTGGACAATCTGTAGTCACAGTTGTGGCAGATCCTAAAGTACACGACAGTAAATGAGCTGCACAAGGGCAGCACCTGCAGTCATTGTGTGATGCTTGTGCTGGGTTATCCTCCCTGGCTCTGGCTCTCGTGTGCCTGTAGTGCTGCAGCTGGTGGCCAGTGATTTTCTTTCTCCTGGGTCTGGGCCTGACAAGGAAGAAGAAGGGAAGTTGAGCCTCTATTCTGCCTGTCTGTACTGTCTGGTACTCTGCATTTCTGTTCTTCTGGAAAATTTCTTCACTGTACTTACATTTGCAGAGAGCATCTTGTACCTTATTTTTAATCAAAATTAGTATTCTTGGTGGGACACACGAGCTTTTTAGCACACTTTTTGTTACACCTTTGAAATGGAGACGTCTTCATCTTGGATTAGGACTAATTTAAGTTAGAGATGCATGCATACATTGTCTTTTCTTAAAATTAATCCCTTCTAGGTATAAGCAGATGATATAGAAGTGCAGAAAGAGGGTTGCAATGCCTGAGGGTCACTTTCCTTAATGTGGTGCTTTCACTGAGGTGTCATATGAAAATTTAAGGGACTTTCCCAGATTCTATGTATGTTGCAAGTTGCTCATGGGAAAAGCTTCCCATAGCATAAATGTTGTTTTGAATAGATTATTTTAAAAGATGCAGTACAATATTTCTCTTAGTGTGATTTTGGTGGGTTCATAAGCTTTTCGAGTTTGTCTACCACTACATCTCTGTCAGTGTATTCTGTGTGTTGAAGCCCAGGAGTATATATCAAGGTTCAGTTGTTGACTGACAGGATTAATTTGTTACAATGAGTTATGAATGTCTTTTTTTGCAAATCTTCTATTTTATTATTCTTAAGTATAGAAGATCTTTTGTTCTATGACAAGACTGTTGTATTACTAAGTTTGATTTTTAGAGTTGCACAGTATAGTAACAAAATTAGCTAGTGCAGAGGCCAGTAGTGCCATGCAGACTAAAAATATGCAAATATGAAATTTTTTCATAGTTCACTAAAAAGTGATGAAGGATAAAGCTATGGACAAAAAAGGCATCTATGATTTTATTGGCTAATTACATTTAAAATAGAATAGGGCATTTAAGTAGAAATCAAATATACATTAGAATAATCTAATGCTGACTGAAAGCAACTGGACTTTAAAATCTTTTAAATCTACTGAAATGCGTATTATCTCAGAGTTTTCTGATGTGACATTTTTGGAAAAATGTGAGAAGCTTGTTCTGTATCACTGTTCAGGACTACATGTGTGGTATAATTTTCTCAGCTGTTGTAAGTGGGTTATCAGTAAATAGTTACGCTCATTTTCTTGCTTAGACCCAGTGCAGGCTTGTGGCTAATTTACAGAACGACCCCAGAGGCTAATACCCTGGAACAATGTATGTATGTTTGTCCTGTGAATAACACATGGGATGTGGTATTGTTTATTGGAAAGAACTGGTTTTGTTCTTTGAATAATCAGCTTAGGAGCAGCAGTAGCTGTTGGCAAGTAAATGTATTTTAAATATCTTCAGCATATTACTATTGTCCTGGAATCAATTTTTGCTAGACCTCATTCTTGATTTTTAGGCATACATAAGCTATGAATGATGTATAGCATAGAATCTAATAAATCCAACTTCAAATAGCAGTGGAACAATTAGGGCATCTTTATAAATGGTGCATGCAAGGTACAGTAACAAGAGCAGTTTCCTGTGCAATATGCTGTACTTTTGACTTCATTTATTCTTGAAAGCTTCCGAAATGTAAGTGGGAGCTTGCACTGCTTCTGTAATCAGCAACAGACAGTTGCCATAGGTCAAGTCGCAGGAGGTGATTTTGGATGACAAAACTACCCTTCAGGTAGTACAAACATGAAACTGGGAATACTGTTCCACTTCGGAATTGTACGTGATCATCACTTTGCAGCACCTGCAAATCCTTTTATAGTTGTCACAGGGTTTTTTTTGTACCCAGCAATCCTAGAACTAAAGGGTAAAGCATGAAGAGCAGTTTCATCTATAACCAGCTTAGTCCTGAAGACTGGTAAACCTTGTCTTTGCTTTGGACTCTCATTAGGCTCCCTATGCTCCTTTAGTTTGTCTCCTGGAACACTCTTAAAAGAGCACAGCTTGCAATTACATAAAAACTTTCCCCAAGAATCTGAACTTGTATGCTTAAATAAATTACTTAATTGGCTTTTTCAGAATGGTTGCAGGCAATATAAGTGAGGCAAATATGAGCCCTGGAGAAATGCTCTGGAGTGTGGGGTTTTATGGAAGTAATGTCTGAACAGAATATTCATCTTGACTGACAATCTCTGTACTGAGTCCCAAATACTTAGCATTTCTATGCAACTGGTTATGTGGAGGAGCAGTTATTAATGAGGTTCATGATCTTAGTGACCAAGAGAAGTGGCAAGTCCTTGTTTTAGGTTTTGTGGCATTACTAAGGATCTTCCAAACTTACTGGCCTAGAGGACTTCAGCTTTGAGGTAGATGTTTACAGTTTATCAATAAATAAAAAGGAAATGTGTCATTTTTAGAACCAAGCTTCCAGAAAGAGTAAAATCTGTCTAGAAAGTGCTGTACTAGAATACGCTGTAAGAACTGCTGGGGTTATTTCTAGAGATGCAGGACTGCACTAAAGAAGTTTTTTCTGGTTCACAACCCCAATAATTGAATTTGACACTATGCAGCTAAGTTAAAAGTTTACTAAAGTTGCGCAGAGATTCAGAAAATCAAGTTTGAAGCAATCATACTTTCTCAATTAAAAAGAAAAATTAGCACCTCCTATTTAATGTAAAATTAAACTTGTAAAAAGACAATGTTCCTTCAACTCTTGCTTATTTTTTATCTAATACAATGATGCTTATGCTTTACAAGTAATGAGGAATAGCAGTGAGGATAAAGGTTAGCTGTGTAGGTATCATCATAAACAATCTCTATGGCTTTTAATAAAAATAAGTATATAGGAGAATGTATATAGGAATCACCTTATTCAAATTGGATGATGATTCAGCTGAAGTAGATTTCAAATACTTTCAGTCTCAAAAATTATGAACTGGTACAATCTATTCCACTACATGAACTGGGAATATATTATCACATCCTGACAATGTTTAGAGAATAGGAAACGAAGTTTCTGTATTTAAGAAAGCATGTGAATTATGTATGGAGCAGAAGTTTTGTGTAACTCTTAAGTTCACTGAAGGAAAAGAATTATGGGTCTACATTTTTCATGTTTTCCTAAGACATTGTGTATAATTTAAGAAGTATGAACTTAGACAACTGGCTAAAATGTGATGTGCATTTAAAGATTGTGATGGCACACTTTCCAGAAAGTTATCTTAAAGGAGATGAAATCTGTAATATATTTACTGCACTAAAATATGTTACATAGGCATCTTAAGATATAGAAATTGGGGTATGAAAGGCCACATGAACATTTCAGTTTATAGTAGCCAGCATTCAGAAGTATGCAGTCATTATTGTGGAGGGACTGGTTACCAGTTACCCCTCCCAAAAGTGCAGAAAAACAAACTGGGGTTTTTTGTGGTCGGAATCAACCGATTAGGAAGTGTTTTTAAATATGGTTGT